TATTATTATTATTATTATTATCATTATTATTATTATTATTATTATTTGGCAGTATATTACGCACGAATGCCTAGGTTACTGCAGTGACTGGGCGTGAGATCACGTGGCCAGTCACTGGAATCTCTTTAAACAAAACCTATTAAACTCTTAACTAAAACTTACTGAGTTAGAATAATCAGAAATAATAAATAATAAGAAATTCTATAAGGATTATCACAATATTTATTAAGTGCAATGTCTCAAAGTCCTGTTGCCGCCTATCTAGAAATATATATAGTCAACTCTCGCTATTACGGACACCCTCGGGACCGTAATTTAGTGTCCGCAATAGCGAGAGTCTGTAATAGCGGGGTGCGGGAAAAAAAAACACTCATTTTTTTCTTGAAATTGTTTAATTTGATTATATGACAACTATCACTATTGTTAATCACATAAAACAAGCAATATAGAATTAAAACTATGACAATTATTCTAATATTAAGCAAACTTTAACATTATAGGATCGTATGAAAACTGTAAATTAAAAGGTAACGTAAAATTAAAAATTGCATGGTACAGTACTGTAGTAGACCGTACTCTGACTCTTCTAAGATTTGAAAAAGCTATCGATTGTGCTTTGGCGTGATTGTTTTTTGAGTGCACTTTCTGCTACTTTATTGCTTAAACTTGAAAACTCACTAGCAATCGTAGTCAGCCCACGCTGAACAAGAAAGTTCAATACAGAATTGTACTGTATCTGGTTATTTTTCAATAAACCACTTGAAATTATGAATGTACTGTACTGCAGTATTTAATTACAGGATGTGTCCGTCATAACGAGAGTTAAACAATGAAAACGTGCGATTGGGACCACACGAAGTGTCCGTAATTCCGTAATAGCGAGAGTCCGTAATAACGGGAGTTACTTTCAGTCATTTCTTTGTATTTTTCGCCGGGGATTTATTCCCTGTCCGTAATATCGAGGTGTCCGTAATAGCGGGGTGTCCGTAAGGCGAGAGTTGACTGTATATGTCAGTTCGGTTCAGTGTTCAATGTTCAGTATTCAGGGCCTAAGATCTTCATGCTTCTGGCTATATTTAGTGTACTTGTTAGCATTGCTTTTTGCATCTTCTTCAGCACTAATTTGCTCTTTTCTCCTACTAAGCTTTGTACTGACCTCATTACATCTTTTGAATAGCCGCCTAGTACGTCCATGATGATGTTATGTATAGGTAATAAGATGATTTCGAGTTCAATTGGGAATTAATTTGCACGAGTTTGTTTTTCAGAAAGTCCGTAATTGCGTGAGGCCGTAGGCCGAACGCAATTTGGGCTTTTTGAAAAACAAACGCACTACATCGCACCACATCCATCGAGAACATGTGCTACGCTCTCTGGTTCTTTTCCGCACCTTCGACAAGCATAGTCATGGGTGTTCAGTGTTTTGACTTTCTTTGCCAGGTACAGCTTTGTTGGTAATAGCTGTTGATACAGCTCTTGAAGTCCAGCAATTGTGTGCGTAGGTGTGGTGTCTTCCATTCACGCATCCAGCTGAAACAAGCTTTATGAAGATCCTCATCCTTCCATCTGTTGACGAACAACTTGCTTTCCCACTTCTGGTCCTCAACCTCTTTCGTTAGCATGTTGACTTGTGCTTGTTTAAGGGCTTTCTTGATTTGCTTGTGTAGAATCTCTTTACCTTCTGCTATAGAACACACATAATGAGGAAATAATAGCTTCAGTTATTATTATTATTATTATTATTATTATTATTATTATTATTATTATTATTGTTGTTGTTGTTGTTATTATTATTATTATTATTATTCCTTTATTTCACAGCAAAATAAGAATATTACAACTCTTTTGCTGGTATACATTAACCTTCAGCTCGAGATTCTACCCGGCTCCTGAGAGCTGAAGTACTCTTCTTAAGATGTGTGCCGTGCGTAAAAGTACAGATTTCTGTAGGTCTAACAAGCTTATACTATCAAGTTCAAGTTCTATGGTCCTTAAATTGTTTTGATGTTGTGCCGAGCGATCCAATGACTATCGGAACTACCATGGTCTTCATCCTCCACAATCTTTCGATTTCTATTCTGAGGTCTTGATACTTGTCAATCTTTTCCATTTCCATTTGATCAATTCTGTGGTCCATAGGCACTGAGATGTCAATGCTTCAATCTTCTTATCCGTGTAAACATTAAAATCCCATAGGATCTTGACCTTTTTGTTTTCCACTAGTTTCTCTGGTTCGTGATCCCACCAAATATCTGCAGTGCACTGTATTTGGTGTTTCCCACATAGGTGCCAATGTATTCTTGCCACTTTGTCATGTCTGTCCTTGTACTCTCCCTGCCAGTACTTTGCAGCCAGATACAAGGTGGTCCACAGTTTCGGTCTTTTCATTACATAACCGGCACAGCGATGAATCACTACTGTTGTACTTCTCCAGTATTTGGTAGTGCTTGGTCCTGTGCAGCAGTGAGTAGTCCTTTCGTCTCCATTTTAATGTCTCCTTTCTTTAGTCAGAGCCAAGTGCTCTCCTTATCCATCTTGTCCTCGCACGTCTTGATGTAGTTTCCGTGTAAAGGCTTGCCTTTGTATCTTTCAAGTCTTTCGTTCTGCCTGCGCTGTTGGTATTCTTTCTTGGTCTCTTCTGATTCTTTCACGGTATCCTTTACAATGTTCCATAGAATTTCATGTTTGCTGACATATTCTTTTAGGGAAAGTTCTTCCTCTCTTACAGTGTCCTCTACGGTCCTAAGTCCTCTTCCACCCATAGATCTTGGAAGATAGATGCGATCTATATTCGCACGTGGATGTAGCCCTCGAGGCATGGTTACTATTGTACGCGTCTTTCTGTCCAATTAACTATTCCAGCTGTGTATCTTATTACTGGAACCGCATAGGCGTTAATGGCGGAAATCTTGTTTCTTCCTGATAACTTTGACTTAAGAATCAGTCTTAATCTCCTTTTGTATTCTAGTTGGACGCTATTCTTAACTCTCTGATGATTGATATCTTCCTCCTCTAACACTCCTAGATATCCATAGTGATCATCAACGTCCAAGTTCTTTATCTGCTGACCATAGGGCCGTAGCTTTATCCCATCCCCCTTTACCACCTTAAAGCCTCAGAAAATCTATTCCTCGAATATTCCAGTATGTTATATTCATTTATTTGCATTTAAAGTAGCACTTGGATGAAAACGCCCCAATTTTTGAAAGTCCAAATAATTGAAGTATTTGAAGAAAATATGGCTCAATTATGAACATGAATAGAGAAAACTTTAGCTTGAGAGCCAATTGCAGATAGGAAATTTTGGCTCAAAAGCAAAAAGAACAATAGGGTTGAGTAAATGACGTCATTTACTCACAATTTAGATGCTGAATAAAATTGCTAATATTTTATCTGCCACTTTTTAATGTGAAAAAAATATGTTGCTTGGCTACTATTGGGGCCATATAGATAAGTTTAAACAAGTTCAAGTCATTTCCAATTTTTATTGATTTTCGTCCAAGTGTCCCTTTAAATTTATTTTATGTTGTCTTTAATTCCTTTTTTTAAACACAAAGTATTTTTAGCTAAGGCTAAGTGACGCCTCACGCGCACGAATCTCCGAAACAGCTTGCTCGTTAAATTAATTATAAGGAAAGCTATTTTTACTCGCTCTATTTCTGACTACTGAATAAATAACTAAACTTAATGGCAACTTAGCTTACCAATTGTTTTTGTGGTTTCTAGTTGTGCTAGGAAACTGGCCGGATATGATTTTCATTCTCATTTATTCCTTTTCCTTCCCTTCCATCCTATTTTTCTTCTCTTCTATTCCATTGCATTCGGTTCTGTTCTTTTCTGTAACTGTTCTCTTCAGTTCTGTTGTAAAAAAATCAAGAAAAAAAAAAAGAAGAAAGAAAGAAAGAAAGAAAGAAAGAAAGAAATAGAGAAAGAGAATGAAGGGAAAAGAAATGATTAGAGAGAGAATGAACGAGAGGCAGACAGACAGAATAATGTAGGCAGATATAGGACTTAAGATAATTGAAACAACGAATTATTCCTTTAAATCGACTCAATCATTTTATTCTAATCTATTCTATTGGCTATGGATCCATTTTATTTCATTTTATTTTTATTTCTTATTTTTTTGTGTATTTTTTATTTTAATGTAATTTTTTGATATATTTTCTCTACTTCCCGTTCATTATTTGCTCGTATTGGATTTTACTCAAATTATTTTTAAAATATATTTATATTATATTTATGTTATTTTTACATTATATTAATGTTATATTAATGTTATATTTATAATACATTTGTATTATATTTATGATGTACTTATAATATATTTATGATATAGATTAATGATATTTTTTTCTTTTTTATATTAGTCACATTGAAAATAACTCGATCCTAGCTAGAATCACTTGAATTCATGTCTCCTCCTGGTCGGTTCTCGGACGTGGGCTGAATTTCAACTCATTAAAACAGACCACCAAAGCCTTATACGATCAAATTTAAGTTAAGAAAATTAAAAAGATATCCATATACCCAGGCATTGTTATTATTTTTTCTTGTATTTTTTCCCCTGTAATTTCATGTAGTTCGCTTTATTCTTTGATTTTTGTTATTTCATTACATATTAGTTTTTCTTGTATTTTTGTTTATAATTTCTTATAGTAATTTTTCTAGTTCTTTAAAAGAGATAGCTCTGTAAGAAAAAAAATCATAAACAATTATAAAAGTGTAACTTAATTAATGATGTTTCTTATGAGTGTAATAAAAAGCTAGAAAAGAAAAAATAGATCAAATTTAAGTCACATCTAACTCGGTATTCTAAGCTTTAAAAAATAATGAAAATGATGCCACTTCAGGTCCTATTATGCTAATTTGTGTAAGCGGCAGCGTGGTGAGTTTGTGCGATTTTATGTCCGTAGGAGAAGGAGAGAAATTGGAATACTCCCGACATTAATTGAAAAAAACCAACCCGGATGATTATGTTTTTTTTTTGTGTGTTTAAGGAAAAAGGACCATTATAGAGTAATTGATCTGCGGAGCGAGCCTATCAACACGAAGAACAACGAGTCTTTATAAAGAAGACGTTTTATTGTTCTTCATTATTGAGCTTCTCCTTGCTTGGCGTCAGCTTCTCGACTAAACATCAGGGATATTATTATTACTTTTGATCATGGCCGACAACATTGCTTTGAATCAGACTTATAAACTTCTAGGTCACAATACCTCGATAGTTAACCAAACACTTGCCGCGAACACCAAGGAGAAGCACCCGTCTTTGTTTCAAGAGCCTCACGGAGTTAGGGTCATTCGACTGGTCTTCCAAACTCTTATGTTCCTTGTCGGCGTTCTTGGGAATTTATTGGTTTGTTTTGTGACTTCTCGTAAACGCGGACAAACGTCAACTGGAAATCTCTTTATCCTTTATCTCGCCATCGCCGACCTTGGGATTCTTCTTGTAGACTTTCCTTTTGTTGTTGTGCGATCGGAGTTCCCTTATTCCTGGCCATTTGGGAGGTTCATGTGCCGGACAATCTATCCATTTTTGGATATTTTTTACGGTGTCCAGATCGGGTGCATTACAGCTATTGCCTTCCATCGATACAAGATGCTCGTCCATTGTACTAAGCCCCAGATAACGCTGGATCAAGCCAAGAAGATAGTTTTCATTATTTGGTTTGTCTCGTTTATCTTTATCGTTGCTCCTTTATTGTTTGTTATGGACCTGGATGTGAAACCTTGGAGGCGAGACTGTCGCCCACATTGGCCAAACATGCTCTCACTGCAGTTATTTAGCGTCATATCGGCGCTAATGTTTTACGTTATACCTCTCACGGTCATCCTAATAACTTATGTCAAAATACGTACTTTATTAAGGAACAATACGAAAAGACAAGAAAGTTACCAAGGTTCCAGTTTTAGAGAAGGCAGTGCTTTTCGAAAGCAGTTCAAAGCAAGAGCATCCCAGAACCGCCGTGCTGTGCAAATCCTAACTCCAGTGGTTGTCATATTTGCCTTGACGATGCTCCCATTTACGATCTTTCGCTTCGTGGCTGCCTACGACCCAAACATCCTACAAACATTCAAATACGTGAGGCTGGTTTTCAATATATGTATTGTGTTGTTGATGGTAAATAGTTCAGTCAACCCCATCATTTATAGCGTGATCAACTCGGAATTCAGAAGAGACTTTTCAAACCATTTGAGGTGCAACGCTGATAGCTGCTGCTCTGATACTGGGGAAAACCTAACAACCGTGCATAGAACATCCTATCCAAACCACCACAACATTAACCGGCGCGACTCAGCTCCGTTACTGGGGCAACACGAGTTTTTATGGCAGAATGGAAATCTCAAGAAAAACCGACATAGGGGTTCTTTGAGAAGCTTGGACTCTGCCTTAAAAGATATGGAGTCGTCTAGTCATAGTAACAACCAGATACTATTGGACAAGAAGAAAGAAGATCTTGAGCCTATGAAAGGTGTTTTGTTGATTAAAGTCAATCCAACATATGAAACAGGAGGTTTCTGATGGATATCCAGTCAAATAACTCATCGTAAATAAGGCAATGCACGATTTAAGGCAATGAGCTACTGGCTGCAAAAATCAAGTAAAAGTCAAATGCAGGTGATTTGGAATCTAGGCTCGAAATGCAATGCATTTCACAGCGAAAATCTCCAAGTATTTTATATTATCCGTTGTCAAAATGAATTTTTTTCCAACAACAACAACAAATACTATTTCAAAAATATATTTGGTGAATTTTTCCGAGTATAAGTTTTATTTTCTTTATTTTTGAAACAAATTTGTTGTTTATTGACGGCCAAAAAAACCTGGAACTTGGAAATATTGAGCTTCGAACAAAATGTTCGCTGATCGGCTAATTCATTCTGGCAGAGAGAAACGAAATCACCTGGAACGACTTAACTGGAATATGCTAGAGTTAGAGTTAGGCATCTTGTTATAATTTTCTTGCTTTTGCAAGATAATGGTTGACTATGACTTAAAAATTGACTAAATTCGATTATTGAACGTAACTCAAAGTGCATTTATCGTTAACATAGAGGATATTACGTGGCCGAGCGAAGATACGGATTTTATCTTCGAGTAGTGAGGTGATATCTTACGACTAAGTGAGCGCAAAAAACCGAGTAAGATATTCTCAACAAGAGAAGATAAAATAGTAATTCTTACACGTAAAGACATGTAATATCTTCAAATGTGAAGATATATATCACTTTTTAGTAACAAAGAAAAATAGATACTTATTTCAACGATGATTATATTTAAAAAAGCATTCGTCATTAGCTTCTCTTGTTAGATCAACCAACATGGCGGCTGTTTCATTGCTATTTATATCTCAACGGATTTTGAGTCATATTGTCGCGTTTCAAGTTAAAGGCAACCATTATCGGATCAACAATTTTAGAGGTAGTTTGAAAAGCAATTGAAAAGAGCATTGCAAACTCGTTGAGCTTATATTATTCTCACTTGAGGTGCTGCCATGAATGGAAAAATCTAGAAGTATGCTTCAGGGTGTTTAGAGGAAGAGAGGCTAAGAGTCTCTTAAAGATCACTCGAGATTAAAGTAAGTGATAGCAAATGACTTCCGAAGATCAATAAAGTGACAGCATCATCAAAATCATCATCAGCAGCAAAAAAACCGCAATGGACTATAAATGAACTATAAATGAACTATAAATGAACTATAAATGAACTATAAATGAACTATAAATGAACTATAAATGAACTATAAATGAACTATACAACAATAGCAACAACTTCAGACTCGGGAGTAACACCAAGAAGAAACCAATAACAACAGCAACAAAAGCCGCAGCAGTAGCATGAACAACCAACAGCAGCTGCAACATCAAAGCGAAAACTATGACAGAAATAAATGAACTAAGACAAGGCCATGCCAGCAGCAGCAACCGCCAAACCAGGAGCTTTAACAAAAGCACCAAGGGGAAAACCAACAACAGCTGCAACATTAAAGCGAAAACAATGGCAGAAATAAATGAACTATATGTAGCAACCGCCGAGTCAGACGCATCAACAAAAACACCAAGGAGAAAAACAATAGCGATAACAGCAACAACAACGACAACAACAACAACAGAAGTTGAAATAACAACAACAACAACACCAGCAACAGCAACAATAACAACATTTGACAAAGAAAGTACCACCACTACAGCAGCAGCGGCGGCGGCCATGTAAACGAGAAAAATTAAAAAATTAAAGCACTATATTATAAAAGAAAAGTTTTTGGCGCTACTAGATAAAATGATAAAAGTTTTAGAAATGAATTTATGTTGTAGGAGTGGATAGGATACATAGATTTAAATTTGATAATATAATTAGATTCTAATGGAAACTTTTAAAATTGAAAGCATAAAATGATAAAAAATTCTAAAAAAAACTAAACTTAAAGACTAGAAGCCATTTATAAAACTATCGAGTAAAAGTACTAAATTTTAAAAATGTTAGAAGCAAATAAACTTAAATTAAACTTTATGTGGTGACGTTTAGTAAAGAAGATTCACCTCACTGTGGAAGGAAATTAAAACTTGTAAAAGCGATACGGCAGCCATCTTGAATTTCATTGTTTTAATAAAGAAATTATGGGATGCCTAGGGGGGAAATATGCAAAATTTATAGACTGCACAGCTGTCAGGGTATCGTGTTAATATAACTTTCCGCTTTTCAATTAGAAGCACACAAAATTTTCTGATAGTTGGAACAATATGCGAAACACCAAGACTTGAAATTTTTCAAAAACGAAACGCCACTGTTGATTAATATATACAGTATGAGTGGCCGTGTTGTATCCGATATACAAACTCGAGGCGTAGCCGAGAGTTTGTATATTGGATACAACACGGACACTCATACTGTAGATTACTTATCAAACGTCTAGGTTAGTTCCTTTGTGTTTCGCTAAAATTTTCAAGATAAAAGTGAATCTGGCCAAGAAAATCCATCTTAAAGTTTATGCAAATGAACAGAATTCTGTATCTGATTTACAGAACTCTTCACGGTCGTGATTTCTGTTGTGTTTTCCTCATGAATTATTAATGAGTTTAATAAATATATATATACAGCCATATGCAAAGATAATGGCCGCTTCCAATATATATATACACAAGTATATCAAAAGCATATCTAAAATTATGGGATATCATCCCAGATATTTTTTTCGGGTTGTCTATCCCCAGGGCTTTCTGAAAAAAATATCAAGAAGATATCTCGCCGTGTCTGTTATACTTTTGATATACTTGTTTATATATTTGAAACGGCCATAATTTTTGCAAATGGCTGTATATATATATGTATGTATCTATATATTTATACTGAGGTTTGCATAAACTTTGACCCTTTTTATATATCTACAAGTATATCAAAAGTATATCAGAAATTATGGGATATAGTGATAGACTCGAAACTCCAAAAGCGGAGAACTGTTTTGTTGCCGTCACTTGGGGACTTTCATTGCCATTTTTTTGCTCAACTTCGACCATATAAGAAACAAAGCTCTTAGATGAAGCGAACACCAGTTTAAAACGATGTATGGAAAGAAGTCATTTTTTCCTATTATCTTTTCAAGGTAACAAATCGAAAAGCAAAGCAAAAGCAAAGCAAAGCAAATGTATTTGTGTAGTCAATATAAAAGCCCCTTAAGGAGGCTGGAAAGTGTTTTGTGCCTTCACATACACTCACAATTATCTCACCTTCTTTGCCGAAGACATAGCTTCTTTGGGTTTTGGTATTTTGTACGATTATATAGGTTTATTGATTACTAAACTTGCCACTAGCGTGGCCAAAATTATTCCAAAACTAATGTCTTCTCTTTCGCAAACTAGTGCGTCGCGATGGAGGGCTTGGACGTTAGTTAACTTTAGTATAAATAAATTTACAGAATGTTTCGACATAAAAAAAGTTAATATGGTTATAACATGACAACAAGTAAACCAGGAAAGCCAAAGACTATAAACCAAAGATCACAATGAGCATGAAAAAATGACGTAACATGTTGCTATGACAACATCAGAACCCTTGCTATGCCATCAAAAATGTTTATTTGAAAAATTATAACTTAGGAACCAAATGGTGAATTTTTTTAAAAACCGGAATATTTCAACTTTGTATCGTAATCTTCTATTTGACGAAAAAAGAAAAAAATCTGTATGAGGGAATTCGTAAAATTCAATGGAATTTATATACAGAATGTTTTAAATTTTTCCTTAAGTATTCAAAAACATAAAAACTAAAGCCCTATGTAAAATTTGAAGAAATTTCAAATTTTTTTTTCAGTTTGAACATTGAAATTTATGATCGAGTACAAAAATTTTCCTTTTGCAAAGTTCTACGTCATTGGACCTAGAGCGCGCGCGCTCGAGAAAAACCTTTGCGAGCCTCCTTAAAACTGAGTAGCTGATCATGCTTAAGCAAACACCAGTTTAAAGCGGTGTATAGAAAGCTTTTCTTTTGTCTTTTAAAGGGAACGAATCGAAAAGCAACGCAAAAACAAATTATTTGAATGCGTAGACAATATGACTATATAATACCTCTTAAAAGTCAGTAGTTGATCATGCTTAAACCGGTGAATGAAATGTCACTGTTTGTCTATTGCTTTTTTTCAAGTGGAGGAATCGAAAATCAAAGAGGAAAAAAAAGTATCTGTGTAGTCGATATGAAAATCCCTCAAACGTAGCTGATCATGCACGTTTAAGCTATACGAAAAGGGCGTAAATACTTCCTATTTAGTGATATGCTATAGATTTCAACTACACGGAAGACAGCTCTCTGTTTCAAAAGAGCGATTAAAACCAATATAAATCTTGTGCGTTTCCTTTATAATCTCATATATCGTAGACTTATTCATGAAATAGCTGTGCCAAGCCAAAGACGATAGGCGAGATCCAAGAATAGTTTAAATGACCTCTTGTTATTATTCTCGACATGCCGGAATACATGAGTGTTGTTCGTAGTCGACGAAAACATGATTGAGCCCTCGAGGGGGGTGGTTGTTAACTAGAAAGGCATCACGTAGCATCCTTTTATGGTTTTATCTTATCATTTATTCTTATTATTTTACAACTCTCCAAGAGGGAGGTACACAATCTCCCTGGATCCACCATTGCTCTGTATAAAAACTCCTAGCTCAAACCGTCCTTGTTTTGTTTTTACGAGGGTAATCCTTAATAGCTATTGAATACAAACCTGTGACCCTTGTTCCATGATCGTACTTGAATTTAGGAGTTGATTTTTGTGGAGGGAGGAAAACCGGAGAACCCGGA